CACGCCCCTGACGTACCGCCCCGCCCCTTTTGCCGGGCAGGCGGGCCCCGCCCCCGGCCAGCCGCCCCCGAGCGCCGCGCCGAGCCAGCCCTGCCGCCGCGCTCAAGCATTAATTAGCTCGTCAAGCAACGCCAAACGCAAGTCAGGGGCCGTAACGGCAGAAACAAACACCCGCGGCCCTCGCAAAGCTGACAGCAGCCGCAGGGCGAGCAGGCTCGCGGCACGAAAGCCGGAGCGCGTCCTACTGCCAGGGGCGCAGCCGGGCTTTGTGCCACCGTTTCCCACCGCGGTACCCGGCGAACGCTTGGGGAGCAGCCGAGGCCTGGGCTCCCAGCCCTGCTGCGCGGGAGGGCTGAGGACTGGCAGCAAGGCCAAGAGCCGGCCGGAGGGCTCTGCCTGACCCTCCTCAAACGCATCAGGAGGCGGTACCACCTTGGCAGCAAAGGAAGAGGGAGTAGCACAAAATTTCTACCGAGGAAATAGCTAAATTTTTCTTTAATAACAAACCAGACATCCTTTCTGGTTCTTCAGGAATCAATGCTTTTTAGAAAAAAGCACATCGTGTACGTGCACAAACACAGCGGTATCTTAGATGTGGGATCTGTGTTGCAAAGGTATTTCCCAGCAACTAGACTTGAAAGTGAGAAAACAAACAAAATATCATTAGCTAATTGGATATCACTAGTTAATGGATACTCTGCAAGCCATGTCCATTTGTCTTGCTCATCTGCTCATACAGGTTAGGTAAATCCACTTACTTCCTAGTACTCCCAACAAATATTCCTCACCACCCTCTCTCAGACTCCAAGGAGAAATTGATCCTCCAGTGATTGCACTCACCAAGACAAAGATGAAAGAAGGTGCCTTTCAATCTGTACCACTTATGTGGTTGGCATTAAATGAAGCAGAATTGAATGCATTTCCAAAACACAAAAGCAAGCCAAAATTGATGCAGAGAACAGAACAGTTAGGGAGCTTATCCCCTCAAAGCTCAAGCCAGGATCATGCACAGCGCAGAACTCCAAGGCAGACAAGAGAACAAGCTACATGTCAGCATGTATAAAATGACATTTATTTTACAACCTAGACATGTTCAAGGCTGTGGCATTATACAGATGGCACGAGCTATAAGGCCGACAACACACACGTGTCTAAGTACAGCCGCACACTCAAAGTAAGAGTTAATGCAGAGCCTACGCACCCTTTCATTCTCTAGGACAAACTACAAGATCAGCTTCCTGGCTTTGGCTACAGCAGCTTCCCAGCCCTAACTCCACCAGCAATTTAACAGCCTGTACAGCAAGCAGAACATGGGCATTTTGCTATAGGCCACTGCTGGCAAACAATTACTCTGCAATTTGTTGGCTCAGATGCAGCCAAAAAGAGCATTCAGCTTAAAAATGCTTCGCGCTCAGAGCTTCAGAGTGAGTATTTAGTACAGCGGGTTCAAGCAGCAGCCACAGTTTGCATTACACAGTTCCATATTGCATTTTTGTACATTTATTCCATTTCTGTGTTGGTCAGCAGAGATCAGCGCTGCCTTAAAGACTTCTCTGTTTACCTCATTATATTGGTCTTGCTCAGGGCTGGTAGCTACTCCTTTGAACATGAATGCAGTTACTATCCTGTCTTGATTTTCTCTCATTCTTTCCGTGTTGGGTTTTTTTTTTATGCCTTCTATCATTTATCACTCTGTCCCTCATCAGTCTTTACCCTTCTGTTTTCTGTCTTCTATGTTACAGAGTCATATAGTGACAGAAGGGATCAACCATTGGTATTACCAATGTAATCAGGCCATAAAAAACTAGTTGGGTTTTCCCCCCCCTAAATCTAGTTTGGTTATCTCCAGCATATAGTTTAGCAAATCTACAGCAAGACTGGCATTCTTCTTCCAAGCACTGTTCCCCTAGAAGAAAAACAGTTGTTGTACTTAACAAAACAAAAAAAAAAAAAAGAAAAAAGAAAAAACGTACAGTCTAGCAGAAGCATGGTTGGCAAGTGGCTGTTCACGACAGAGCTTTAACTCTAAACGCCTTTTTGGCAAGCCCATTTGGCTGCTCTAGTTTTTTTGTTGGTGTCGCATCCCCCCTGCCCCAGTCGTACTATGGTTTGGTGACCAACACTCCTGAAGCGTGGTAAGGACTTAATAGACTGCCTGCCAATTTATTAAGCTCCAAGAACTCAGTTAGTGGCTTAGTACCAGGCAACAAAGCCTTTCCCTCCACATACTAATCTTTTCCATAGGTGAAGTACACTAGTCTGATGCAGTACTGCTAGACCATAAACCTGTTAGCACATCCAACATGAAAGGAGCCTATTTTTTCATTCTTGGCGGCCAGGGATTTCAGGGAAAGAACTTTGGCAAAGTGTTGTCTTTTACAGCGATACAAACAGCATGTGGATAAAAGCACATGACCTCCTCTAAACCCAAGAACAGAAAACACTCGAGGGGCAGCAGCAAAAACTAAAAACAACTCTGGATAGGTGCTTGCAACTCAGAGCACACAAATTATTATGAGTCATAAACACACTCGTTCGCTGCTTTATTACAAAGCAGAGAAAGCTACGCTGCTAACAGGAAGAGAGAGGAATGGTTTGTAATGTTAGTTGTCTGCTTGCTATCAATACTTGAGTTTTGATTTATTATTAAGATCTGAATTTCGCAGCTATGCTTCCCACTTTTTCCAAGGCTTTTGTGTTTAATCATTTACATCAAATAAGACAAAGCTTGCCTCTATAATTTAGAGCTTTGATTGTTCTGGAGTGGATTATTTACAATAGACAGAGCTGAATACTAAAAGCATCTAGAAACTCTAGATAGTCCCAGACACGGTTACTTGGTTGTTAAATACTATATTCCTTATATAGCACTTCTACTCCATGGCTGCAGATGTCCAATTTAAGATTTCATTTGTTCAGATCTGTATAATAATGTTAGTCACCCATAAGACTCTAAACAGGCTGTAATCTGCCTCTTGTCACAGGACACACAAGCTAAGAGCAGTAGGGCATGCACAGCTTCAAATCCCTACATGGATGGCTGTTTATGATCCCATTCTTTGGCTACGATTAGGGAAACAACACAATCCTTTGAGCTAGAACGAAACAAGACATCAGGTTGTAAATAAGTGTTATTAAAAATATTTGAACAAGGTATTGCAAAGTTGGAAGTATTTACAATAGTTGCTGAAATATCCAGCATTTAAGCAATTCACCCAGGCATGGTTACAAACCACAAAAAGGGTAACAGTTTTTAGACATATTGCATGTGTTATACAAAGAACCACATCAACTTCAGTCACTCATAACATCTGCCATCAAGGTATCTCTAAACAGGTTTTAAGCTATTCTGGTAAACTAACCAGGCGTAATAGACCAGGTGAGTTCTGGACTCAGGTCAGCAAAAATCAACGTGAGAAAGATGCACACACTTACAGTCAGGATACAGGAGACAGAATGGCAGTAACGTCAGTCAATTTTCCTTCAGGATTTAAGGAGTCACTGGGTTTGCGGTTCTATCTGTTAAGAGGCACCACTGCACAGACCGTTTTACAACGTGAAAGGATTGAAGACAGTTGTTGAAGATGTAGAGACAAGTTAACCTAGGTTTGATCTTTTTCAGCACTGAAGTGCAAGTCATCTGAGTGGATAAACCAAAATGATGGTTTTCCTTCTACAGAATACACTGTAACTTCATCAGTTTACTCTTTTAACATCCAAAGGGACTTTCAGAGCTAAAGTGATTGCTACCAGAATATATGAACCTGTTGCTTTAAGATGGATCACAAAAACCAGGACACACTGGTGCAATGTTACAATCCTAGAAGTGTTTTTGCTTCTTCACTCTGTGCCATGAGGGTTTCACTGGCATACTTCTGAAGAAGCTCCATCTTCTTCCTCCGTACAAGAGCTTCCTCAATCTGCAAGTATAAAAATAGGATGACATTCAGCTTAATTGAGATGCCGAAACCTAGCATGCTTAGCTATTAAGACAGGAGGAAGAAAAATGCAGGAAATAGGCTGCGAAAGTTAGAGGCATGTACTAGTGTAAAAGTAGTTGAATTAAGATGAGTCAGGAGTATCTTTTCAATACTCAACTGAAGCTCACAGAATTCGAAAGAAGCAGTAAAACAGATGCCTCCGTTTCAGATCTATGCTCCCACCCTTTTTAATTAGGACGTTAGCTGCAATTTTATTTTAACTCTCAGTACAGTCACTTGAATTTTGTTTCAAACAATTGTCTCGGATATAGCTTTACCAACGGAGAACAAGTGGAGTTATGCCACACTAGTCCACACCCTTGAAGTAACAGTTTAGTGAGTGTGCCTTTCACATTAGCAATGGCTATGAACCTCTTACCTAGATTTTGTCTAGAAGTGCCAGCAATACACGATTCTTTAACAAGCGTGTACTTTAAAGATCTTTAAAGATCTTTATACTTTAAAGAATAGCAACCTGCAAGACTTGTTTTAATCGCAGTAATAATTTTATATTTGTCCAAACAGCACACAGGCATACAGCGTCTCTCAAAAATAAGTGTTCTGAACTTCAGCTTTTTGTAATTTAGAATCTAGAAGGCATAATCCCATAGGCATAAGGTATGGAGTGATTTGCCACTAGAAGTGAAAAGATTACACTGACTGCTGTCCAGTTAGAAAAGATTGCTATGTAAATCAGTCGTTATGTATTAGAAAGCCAGTTTTGACTCTCAGTTATGCTCTCTTCATTAAGAGAGTATCATCGGCCAGAGAGCAATGTTTTTAATCGTTGTTTCTCCCCTACAGTTTTGACAAGCCATTACACGTATATTTTGTTGAACGTGCAGGATCATGACTTCACAGCAGAATACGGCATTGTTATCTGACAAGATGACAGCAGGGGACAAACCACCACATGCTATCTGTGTGATGTAAAGGCGTACCTACCAAAAGATACATAACTCCAGAACCTTCTTGCCTGAATTATATTTCAAACAACCTGTCACTGTTAAGGTAATATATACCCTAGAGCAGTTTCAAAAGATAATCGTCAATTCAAGGTCATGCCACCAAAATAATTTTAGAAAACTTATGAGAGCAAACCCTGCAATTCAGAAATCATCCCATTAAATTAAAAAAAGTTAGACCGTCAGCAGAAAAGCACAGTAAAGATATAGTAGGCAATCAGGGTTATCTTGATCATAACACCACAACACTTTCTAATTTATGTAATACTTATGAAGGTTTTGGAAATTCGCAGATGAAAAGGGTTATAGCAATGGTACCATAATGCTGGCCAGTTCCACAGCATTTGCAAGAGGATTAAACAGCTGCAGAGTCAAGTCACAGAAATAACAAATCGAGGACATTTTTACTGATGACCCACCACAAGTTAAGATCTCTATCTTGCAATAGCCACAGTGCATCTCTGCAACTTAGTTTTATTATGTCTTACCTCCTGCTGAGATGGCACTGGAACATGCGCAATGAATTTCTGTTGGCCTTCTTCACCTTCTTTTTCCTTGCCACCCTCCTCATCGGACTAAAAAAAAAAAAATTAAGCCACATCAAGTTTACTTTCCAAAGGGGTCATCAAAAACACCTTTTTTACTTAGTTTGCCAGAAGGAACCAGATAGAGCATGATCAACGCTACAAACACCAGAAGTAGGCGAGTAGGACCAAACAACAAAGGAATACAACAAGCATCACATTCAGATCCTGCTCCTTGACATTTTCAGAATTACTGCTTTCATTCTTCATATGGCTTTTCATCTGCTGTGGGATGGGCATGCATGTAAAGCTATATTCCCTCCTCTTCCGTATCTCTCTGGCTTCCATAGCAAAGCTATAAACAAAAGAGGAGCCAGCTAACCAAGAAAAAGCAAGTGAGGCGAGTAGGACCAAACAACAAAGGAATACAACAAGCATCACATTCAGATCCTGCTCCTTGACATTTTCAGAATTACTGCTTTCATTCTTCATATGGCTTTTCATCTGCTGTGGGATGGGCATGCATGTAAAGCTATATTCCCTCCTCTTCCGTATCTCTCTGGCTTCCATAGCAAAGCTATAAACAAAAGAGGAGCCAGCTAACCAAGAAGAAAGCAAGTGCTTAAAAAAAAAAAAAAATACATACCACTTCCCTGTATAGCTCTGTACTGCTTCGTTCTCACACCTGAGAGCTGGGCTTATGAATCATGAGATAATACACATAAAACAGGGTACTGAAGGAACCACCAGTTTTACCTTATGGACTATCTCCTTTTTATTCTTGTGATAAACCCACTTAGGTACTGCAAAATAAGAACTAGTTTCCAGTACCCCTTATCTTCGAGAGCAGCGGCAACATCCCTCACTTCCCTTCCCAGCGCTGGGGGCAGGGAGAAGAAAGAGGCAAGAACCATGTCACAGCAGTGACTGCAGCATCGCCAAAGCCCTGCTGTATCAGGATTCAACTGTGAACAAGACCCTGGCAACCCTTGGTTTTGCTACACATTGACAGTATGAAATTATACTGTACAGAAAACTACTTTTGCTTCTAAGCACAATCTGCATCGGTAACAGCACGACTGATCAGTGTTCAGTTAACAACACGCTACTTTACAGATACCAGCATTCCAGGCAGTGACAGTTAAATCACAAGGTCTCAGCTGTAAGTTGTTTCTCACTCAAGTACAAAGTCTTCCCTAGCTGCCAGCTTTCATAACGCTCTAAACTTGGACCAAGCGTACTCATCTACTACCGATTTTTACTAAACAGGGACAATTATACAGTAAGTTAGGCAGAGAGGGCAGAACGCAGCAGCAGACAGGTTCTCAGCAAAATAACTCTACTTCCAAGAGGGCAGCGTAGAAGACGCATGAAATGTTACATCACATTAGCCATCACATACCTCATCATCGTTGACAGCATAGATATTTACTTCTTCCTCCTCCTCCTCCTCACCTCTTGCAAGTCGTGCTTCTCTCTCCATTTTCCATTTTTCCACTGCTTCTGCTATAACTGGTTAGCAAAGGAAAACGACAAGTGTATCTGAGAGCAAGTTAAACCAGCATGGTCCAACTGTAGCCCCAGTTTCCTCGACAGCAGTTCTGCAGCAACTGAAGTTAAGCTCCCTTGATTTGTCTCCTGTTTCCAAAGCTTTTCCAACAGACTTAAACTTCTTGCTTAAATCTTCTACATCGGTAACACACACTTACTGTACAACCTTGATGTAGTATCTAATAAAATATATCAACGTAGTCCGATCAAAACCCAATGCTAGCATTGTGAAAGTGTGGTACTTGCTAATGCCTTAATTTGGGTACATTTTAGACTCTAAATGTCATGGATAAATATCAACCTACTTTCTGAACTGAGTAATAGGGGGTCACATGACCAGGCTAAGTGGCTCTTACAGCTCTGTAGCATGTCAACAGCTATCGGAGTGTTGATCACCATGTAATTAAACATGATTATGCTCCTTAGAGTGACCACCCACATAAGTGTCTTTCTTTTCATCGCGTAGTGTATTTCTCTTATTTTGTAGCATGATTCCAATTCTGTAACTCGCTGCTAGCTAGGAGCTGTTAGGCCGCTCTATCTCTACTACACAGCGGAGCGCTAGTAAGAGCGCTAAAACAAGTTAAGCAGCTTAATCAGTGACATCACCAGCACATAAAAATCCTAGGGAGCTGCAAGATTAATGCAACTAGGCAGTATGAAATGCCTACAACTATGGAATCCAGCAGTCATTCCCCCCAGCTCTCAAAGATTAAACATTAAAATACTCTCCCTGAGAAAGCAAAATCTAACTAACTAGTGGCACACAGCTGCATTTTTATGTGGTTTCGTAACAGAAAAGGTGCCCCAAATTAAGAAGTTTTTTTTCAATACTTTGCTTCACAACAATTTAATTCTTCTGATAAGGTAAAAACCACAAGAGCCTAGACAACAAGTGACCCTAAAGGAATCTTAGCTATTGTGCATTAATAGTACACTTATTGGTTCTGTTAGCATCTCTAGCCTTGTTATTTCAAGTGGCACGAAAAGATGGTAACTTTCTCAAATAACCATATGAATCCAGATGAGCTACCTCTCCTGTCTGTAATTAGCAAGGTGTGCAAGATGAACAGAGAGTGGGATGCCTTTCTGGGAGCGCCGCACCACACAACTTCCCTTCTTATGCTATCGTGGGCCAGCCAGCTAACGTGGACTTGTTTTAAGGCTCCAAGCTATGCTGCAGGACACAGATAAGTGAAATACTTCCTTTATTCCCCTCTTTCTCCCTGTCCTATAATCTAACCGACAAGGCATGATCTCCAACTCACAATACTATGAAGATCTCACACATGGAGAAGGGATAAATATTTAAGAAGTGGATGACCACACCAAGAGATACTAAGTATTGATAACAGTGACAAGCTCAACAACTTATAATCATTTAACAAGTCACCTCCTGCAGTTTCTTTTAAAGTTTTTATCTCTAATTCCAGAGGGATAATTGTATACAAAAAGAAGCACCATTCAAGCAAAAACTGACTGTCTTATCTGCTGTGTTCTGTGGAAAAGCCTGCCAAGGGTTCCTATACCAGGATATTTCCTACAGAGCACTGAGATCTGCCTGCAGTTGCAGCTTCAGAAGAGGAGATTATAAAACAAACACACAATGCAAACAGCAACAAATTGCCAGGATCAGACAACGTTCACCAGAAGCACTGAAAGAACTATTTAGAAAACAGCTAAGCTCTTAAAGGTGGTGGGTGGCCTCTTGCTTAAAGCTACACAAATACCAGAAGATGGCACACAGTGCTGAATTTTAAAGAGGGTTTCAGGAATTAGACTTGTAATCCTGATGCCTTTACCAGACAAGTCAGCAGAAACAAAACCAGAGAACTAAGTGAGCACACACATGGATAAATATTATCTATTGGGAAAGTATGGGTTTCAAAGGAAAAAAGATTCACAAATGTGTTGAAGTTCCGAGATAGATGACGTGGATAAATTAACATAGGCCACCGAGACTTCAGGGCTTCCAGAAGGTCCCCTCTAATCTCCAAGAAAACTGAACAGCTATGCTTATGGATAAATAATTAGGTGAGACAGGAAACAGATGGCATGGTCAGTTTTCACAAAGGAGGGAGATAACCACTTGAGTTCCACAGATCTCCCTGCTGCAACCTACTCTTACATTCTTAAGCATGAAAAAGGGGGCGGGGGGGAGGAGATTTTGCTTCAATAGCAAATCACTTGCTTACAATATTAAATCATTAACAGTACTAAAGATGACAGCAAACTCTAAAGCACACTCCCTCACCCCTGAAATGCCTTACACAGTAGTGATTTGGATACCTATGTGACAGATAAACCTGACAGCTAAGCACAAGACAACACTCGCAGGGAAAAAAAGTTATCTTAACTTCAGAGTCCATCATCACCCCTTCCTGGACTGATTTATGCAGGTTTTGAATCTCACATACCTTTCCTTTCATGTTCTTGTTCCAGTGGCTCCAGAATACCATCATCTTCATCCCTGTAGCCATAGTATTCTGCATCAATGGCTTTCATGAGCTCAGCTCGAGTTTTTCGAGGCGGTGGGAGGGCTGAAAAAAGACACGACTGTCATTCATCCAGGTCCATCTCGATAGCTTGCTGTGCATTCCCGGTTCCTATCAACCTCACGGCAACTACAGCTACCTCGCTTAAGCTCATAACCAATGCATGATCTGAACTGCTGTCAATATCGGGACTACTGGTGTTTTACTCTGGCCTGCACAAAACAGTTTGAATACATGACCCGATGCCTCATATTGCACAGTTCCCACCCTGTGGCAATTCTGCACTGTCATGCATGCGGTTGTTTTTCCCCCTGTACTGGAGTCCCGGTACTGAGCAAGACTACTATATGAAAGGAACTAAAAAACTGTCCCAAGCTCCCCCAGATCATGTAGTACTTCCCGTAATTTTTCTTTGCAGATGGCAAGTAAGAAAGAGCTGATTCAGTAGGCCTGTCTCACTTTCAGGTCCAAGTAATTCCCACTCATTCTATGACAAATCAATATATAAAGTCTTATCCACTTACATCTAGTTTTTCCTATTATGAAAGTTGATTCCTGCCTCTAAAATTATGTTCAAGCCAACTTCCTTTTTTTTTTTGTTTAATTCTGAACTCAGAGTACTATTTAGGACTTATCAATAAAGTTAACCTATTATGCTGGAAAGTTTCTGTAGAACTTACCATTTCGAACTCCCCGTAGAAAACAGACTTTACTCTTTTCTACGTTTCTTTAATTGCAAACAGCCAAAATTTGCCCAAAGAAATAGCATTTAATTCATTACTTGTGTTCAGCTTTTCATTTAGCTGATCTAAGGCATAGGCCAGAATATGCTGTTACTAGCATTCCCCACATACTGCAGCAGACATTTTACCCAAGATATACTACTATGTAGATTCATGTCTGGAAAGAGTTGCTATTTACTTACGTTCCTTTTCAAAAAGTTCTCTAACTCCTGGTAAATCCTTTGCAGCTCCAAAGTATTTGTAACCTCTGTTTCCTGGAACTTCTTTCCCTTCATGATCTAACATTTTTGGTCCAATCCGCTGGAAAATAAACCAAGTTCATTGTTTAAAATTTTATTCCTCTTGCATTTTGTATTTCCTGTTTTCCTGGGCATCTTAATAGATTAAAGGATTGAGAAAGGAGATATGCTATACCAGTTCAAACTGCCCCACAAGTAAAACACCCTCATAGCTCATTTTTATACAGGTTCTCTACTTTTACTACAAATCACACCTTTAAAATGACCACGCAAAGCACAGAGCACCCATACTGGATTAACCGTCACAAAATATCTAAACCTGTCTTATTCTCTGTACTAGTATATTCAGGTATCAGATAAACAAGCACTACCAAATCTGACAATAGGCATACTTTTGACATTTTGGCAAGTGAGAGCTAGTGTCATTATTTCATTTTCAGCAGTAACTAGGCGAGCCAAGTGAAAACCCTTCTACAGACTGGTAGAGTACAATATAGAAAACCAACACCTACTGATGGGTAAAATCAGACCATTGCTGCAAACTCTCAATAGGAAGGCAAGAATCCTTGAACCGGTGTTCCAAATGAAAAGTCTGATTTGCTCATCATAGAAACAAATATTTCTTCTAACACGACCTAACATTTTTAGGGGCTGAATAAAGCTCCTTTCCAATAAACGTTGGCCAAGTAATACATGGTTAACTAAACGTTGCACAGATTTTTCTCATTAGTCACTTTACTTGTAAGCAGAACAACCATGTAGTACAAAATAATCTACACTTACAGCATAATCAGGACCTCCTAGCTCCTTTATTCTGAATTCCCAGTGTCCTTTCTCCCTCAGAAGTTTGTTTATTTCATCGTTCAGGTCCCGAATTCTGAATTCACCTAATCCAGCTGTTAGAGGGGAAAAAGGCAATATATAGGGCAGCTTACTAGAAGCACCAGAGTAATTTCAGAATTTATGCAATGGAAACAGTACAGTTCACATGAAATGTGATTTTTACTGTAACTGCTTAGGACTGGAGATTGAAAGAAATAAAATGTAATTAGAAAAATCTTACCATTTTGAATCTGTGCCACTTTCTTGGAAATTTCCCCAATGATCTAGTTAAATAAGAACAGAGAAGTGAATTTCTTAAAAAATAAAAACAAACAAAAAACCCCAAACAAAACCAAAAAAGCAACCAAGGCTAGAAAAGGCTAAAAACAACCCGAAAAAGATCCAACTTCTAAGTTGGCTTTTTGATCTAGAAAATGGACCTGAGCCTATCAATTTCAAATATCAAAATAGATTTTATTCAGACACAAATATAGTACCTCAGAAGCTTAAAAAACAAGGAAACATTTTTACAGCTATACATGTGAGGAGGGCAGGAGCACATGAAGTACAACGAAAGGCTGAGAGAACTGGGTTTGATCCACCTTAAGAGAAGACAAAAAGGGAATAACCTATTGCTGTCTTCAACTACCTAGTGGAGGGTATAGAGAAGACAGAGCCAGGCTGTTTTGAGAGGTGCGTGACAATAGGACAAGAAGCAACAAACACAAGTTGGAATGGGGGAAATTCTGATTAAATTCAAGGAGGGGCGGGGGAAATCATTGAGAAGGTAATCAAACACCGGAACAGGGGCCCCAAAAAGTTGTGGGATCCAGATCCCTGAAGATATTCAAAACTCAGTTGGACATGGCCCTGAGCAACTTGATGTGGTAGGACCTGCTTTGAACACCATGGTGAACTATATGATCTCCCAATCTAAATTATTTTGCGATTTAACTGTCAGCATACTGAAGTCTGAAAAAAATTTGTAAGCAGGCTGTCTAAATATGAAGTGCTAACATCCTACCTACTATAGAATTGGAAAAATCTATAGCTTGACATTACCTGTCGCCTCCATTTCTCAGCTTTAGGCAATTCATTACACTCTGATGCAAGGAAAGGTCTTCGTTCCTGTTTGACAGAAAGCCACACACCATGAAGTTTTAACCTAGCATTAACATATTTACAGCATTTCATGCAAACTTTTTTGCTTGATTAATCCCAAACTATGCTACCAAGCTCCAGTGCCTTCTGCTCCCACCGATTTTTATTAAGTGGAAAACAATGACGATTTATAGCCCTGCCAAATTAAAGTATCACAGAATATAACAATCTACTTAAATCCACTTTATTCAAAACGAAATCTGTCACCTGTTTTTTCAAATGACCACACAATCCTCTCCGATACAAATAACGTTCCATTTAGGTCAGGTGAATTACAACATCATTTTCAATATACTAGCATCTAAATAAAATCCGCTGTTTTCCAAGTAGCTGTTAAGTTTAGGCCTTTCTTTCTCAATTGCTACTACCTAAATACTGCAGTTTTTTTCCAAGATGATTTTGTTTTATACTCTCCCAACTCCAGTTCATCCAAAACACCTTTTTCCCCAACCTTCTTCACATTCCATTGACTTGCTTACACAAACTAATACTTCATCTTACCTCTAGGACTCTGTGTGCAGTTATTTTGTCCCTTGCCCTACAGTACTTCCACAGCTCTACCTTTTATATATTAAAAAGCCTTCCTTCACATAATATACCGGAAACTCTATTCCATCTTATTCTCCGGCTGTTGTTCATGGAATCTTTTCCACTACAGTTTCCCCAAACTGTTATTTCCCACTTTAGTGTTTCATATTGCTCGCACTCGCGTCTTAAGGTGAAAACATAAGACACCTCAGTTAGTTTCCAGAATTCCTTCATCAGTTGCCCAAAATTAAAAATGATAAACCTGTCCAAAAAAAGTTACTGAAAACACTCTGATCCCCACATAAATATTCTTGCAATTTGAGTTATGATTCAGTGAAAAATATACAGGAATATCCAGAGATAGTTGAGAATCAGTCTCTAAGGTTCTGTGTGGGTTTAGGGGTGCTATTTCTTTCATTACACTGGTGGGTTTTTTTTTAAATTACGAAGTCGCTAAGTCCATTTTTTTGTCAATCTTACACCAATCAAAAAAAAAAAAGCTGCGTGACAGTGAAGACAATTATGAACAGATGCACAGCTATCGTGTTGGGTTAATAACATGCCAGTGTTATGTCTCATGCAAGCCTCGAGTTCACAATGATCTTGAAGGCCCTCTGTTTCGTGGTTACTGTTTTGTCAGAATATTACCAATGAACAAGATTATGAGATTTTCTCTACCTCTTCTGGGAAGAAATCCAAACAAACCTTGTGATTACTGTCAGTAAAAGTAAGTGTGTGTGCATCAATTTGCATAAGTAGTTGCAGGAGGAGATAACTTCAGTCTCAAAAATAATTTTCATTTTCTGCCCAGCATGCTGCCTCTATTTATAGCATTATTGTAGTTTGTTGTTTTGTTTTTTTCCAAACTATTACATATTCTACCCACATTACATCAAAAAATTAAGTGACATTCAATTTGCCCTTTCTTCTCGGCAGCCAAGCCAACATACCTCTGAAACATACATATACGTAAATTTGTAAACAGGTTATTTAGTTAAGAAAATTCTAGTTACCGTTTCTGTTTTGTGTCACTGTGAAATACAGTCCCTACCTCAGCTGCTTTCCAGATACTAATGTCAGACTCCTACAGGATACCTGTATCTGGCATATGACCTTTCTGACAGCTGTCATGCAGCTCTGTACATGGCTTGCGTTCCTCTCTTGACTAGAGCTAACAAAGCTTTAGTTTTTTTATGTCATACCTTAACTTTTCCTTCCTCAAGCTGAGCTTGCCGAAATCTTGCCAAGGCCGTCCTAAAGAAAAGAAAGGAGGCAGATTTACTTTTACAAATCTACATTCCAACTCCAGGAATGAGTTTTGCTCTGGATGTTTATTATGGACTTAATTACAGTCTGTAGAAAACAAGGCTTGAACGTACTCATTGATTTAATTCATTTAAAATATCCATTCATTTAAAATCTTTAACAGCATACCTATACCCTGCATCTAAGCCAATTATCTAGGCTCCACCTGCTGTTAAGAGGCATCTCCTGAATGAAAATCACACCACCCAATCCAGCGTCCCAGATGCGCTGGACAGGATCACCGTAAGAGAGCACCTGGCAAGGCATGAGACAGCTCTAGTCTCTTCAGCCTCTCTCTGAGTTACTATTACAAGCTCGGAAAGTATTTTAGGAAAAAGAACAAACATGAGACAGATATATTGAAGAGCCTCTAATTTAGTAGTTCTAAAGGTCTGTAAACCTTTTTGAAAAGTACTCAAGCAAGGCAATATGAAAATAAATACGTTGAAAACCACTGGTTTAGCCCAAGCCACTCCCAAGCAAGAAGAATTATACTTAAACAAATGCTGACAGATTCCTATCCAGCCTGCCGTCTCTGTTCCAAAAATGGGAACTGCCTGAAACCATAACGGGCCGTTAGAACATATTTCACCATGTTTCTCCTCCGGCCCTTGCTCCAGCTTCTCTCCTGCGCTGATTAGCGTAGCACCACCCAGTACAGCTACGCAAGCTCCACACCGCCAGGCACGCTGCGTACAGGTGCTTTGTATCCCTCCTACTCCCTCCATCTCCAGACCAACGTAACACCTGCAACTAAGTACCGAAGAGCATTACTGAACTCCCAGAGCTTTAAAAAAGGCTGAACGGTCAGTCCCGCTGGGCAAGCGTGGCTCTGTGGGCGTGAGCCACGGCACAGATGTCTCTGACGCCAGACACAGCCAGAGTCTCAGACGAGCGTGATCAAGCTGCTTCAGAAGCCGCTCGCGATGACGCGGGTTGATCACTGGAACCCGCAGGTCTCTGCTCTGAGGCCAAAGCAAGCGGTGCTTGTACCCAAGTGCCCACTCAGGGGGTACGAGCACGGGCAGCGGCCCGCCCCAGCCGGGGAGCCCCCGCCGGCACCCCCAGCCGTACTTACATGGCCTTTTCCGCGTTCCGAGCCTGAAAGAGGAGAGAAAGCAGACGTGTCGTTACCGACGGCGCTCGGCCCCCCTCGCTTCTAACGGCCCCGAAGGAGAGAAC